CCAAGTTCGTAGAGAACGAGGGGAGGTGGAGACCTGACAGTGTGCCCGACGGAACCGCAGGACAAGGAAGGACAGTGGAGGAGGTCGCAATGACCGGACCCCCAGAGGGGTCAGCAAGGGAGACAGCAACTGGCCGAGCAAGCTGCTCAAGGGCAGTGCGGTCACGAAAGAAACAGCGAGAAGCTCCTGAGTCTAGAGTGAAGGTGTGCAGTGCCTCAGTGGACTCAGTACCAGGGGGCGCAGACGCACTAGCACCTAGAGCAGCAGCCTCACCAGCACCTGGGGCAGCAGACACGCAAGCACCTAGAGCGGCAGCCTCACCAGCACCTAGGGCAGCAGACACGCAAGCACCTAGAGCGGCAGCCTCACTGGTGCGGATGCCCGGGTCGGGCGGAACACGCAGGTACTAGGCACTCTCTCCACTAGTAGACAACACATACATTGCAGTGAGAATAGCATCAAAGTCAAGAGCATAGATATCAATGTTCTTCTTCATCAGGTCAGCCCAGCGGGGCAGCTCAGTGGCAGCAGGGAACTGAGTGCGCCAAGCGTCGTCCAGGCGGGAAAAGCAGCGCTGCGTGGTGTGCGCCCTCGCACACGTCTGGCCAGTGCGGTCACCAGTGCGGATGACGTACGTGCAGCTAAGGCCACCCCCCCCCCCCCCCGTGGTGAGAGTACCACTCACGAAGCTCCTGGGACGACGGAGTGTGCTGCTGGCTCTGGCCACCGCCAGTGCCTCCACGACCACCACCGCCGCCGCCACCACCTCGACCACCACCGCCCCTGCCGCCTCCGCGTCCACCGCCTCCCCAACCACCGCCCCCACCCCGGCCACCTCCTCCGCTGCTGCCGCCTCCACCTCCACCGCTGCCACTAGCCCCTCCAGCCCCGCCACCACCCCCACCGCCGCCACCGCCCCCACCCCCACCTCCCCCGCCGTCACCTCCACCTCCCTTGCCCCCTTTGCCCTTGCCGCTGCGGCGCCAGCTCGGAGCGGACGCAGTCCCGACCTGCTCAGTACCAACTAGGTCGACAGCAGCAGCAGAGGCGACAGAGGGGAGAAGGGGGGAAGGGGAACACCCCTCGAAGAACGGGGTGCGGGGGTCGCCACGAGAGGCAGCTACAGCGACTATGCTAGTCTCAGCTTCACGCAGTTCCTTCTCGAGCAGGTCAACGGTGAGCTCAGTGGGGCAGCGAGCGAGGAAGTGGTCCCTGACCGCACGAAGAGAGTCAGGGAGACGGGTGACAAGGTGGTAGAGAGTGAGCCAGAGCGGGGGGGGGGTGGGTGGCAAGAAACTCAGCGGGCATAGCGGCACGGAAGCGAGCCTCACTAGTGCGGAGGTGTGTGATGAGGTCAGCTACTGTGGCAAAAGCGGACAGGTCTGGGAACAGGTTGGGGAGCGAGAGACGGCCTAGCGCAGCAGAGGCAGGTGAGGAGTAGCGTGCAACTACAGCAGTGTACAGTGCCTGCGCAGTTTTGTGCTGGCCAAAGTGCTCGCGCTCATCTACCGGCAGGGAGTTGCGAATAGCGAAACGAGCGTGGGCATCACGAGTCTGCCACTGTGAGCGGGCAGTACTGTCAGCAGTAACAGCAGGGGCAGCAGCGAGGCCTAGTGCGTGATCGTACAGCGAGATGTCCTCCTTGGCAGTGAGCTGGAGGAACAGGTGCAAGTCATCTAGCCAGGTGTCAAACTTCAGTGGGCGGCCCTCGGCATCGAAAGCGAGTACGGCGGGGCTAGCCATAGTAGCAGTAGGAGTAGCAGCAGTAGCAGGAACAGTAGTAGTAGTAGCAGCAGGCGAAACCCTAAAAGCAGCAGGCAGCGCGACTCAGGTAGGGCGGCTCGGTCCAGAGAGGGCTGCTCAGTACGGGGAGGGCGGCGCGGCTCGGTTCGGGCGGCACGGCTCGGCTCGGACTGGGCGGCTCGGTTCGGGCGGCTCGGTTCGGGCGGCTCGGTTCGGGCGGCTGGGTTCTGGCGGGGCCGTGGCTGTCGCGTGCGGGGCTGCTGGGGCTGCTGTGCGTGGCGCTAAGGGGCGGCGCGTGGGGTCGACGGGGCCAACGGGGCCGCTAAAGGGGGGCGCGCACGGGGTCGACGGGGCCGACGGGGCCGCTAGGTGGGGCGCGCGCGGGGTCGACGGGGCCGACGGGGCCTCTAAGGGGCTGCGCGTGGGGTCGACGGGGCCGACTGGGCCGCTAAGGGGGGCGCGCACGGGGTCGACGGGGCCGACGGGGCCGCTAGGTGGGGCGCGCGCGGGGTCGACGGGGCCGACGGGGCCTCTAAGGGGCTGCGCGCGGGGTCGACGGGGCCGACGGGGCCACTAAGGGGCTGCGCGCGGGGTCGACGCGGCCGTGAGAGGGGCCTCTAAGGGGCGGCGCGCGGGTCGCTAAGGGGCGGGTCGCGGGTCGCGGGGCCTTACGGGGCCGTTAAAGAGGGGCGCACGAGGGCGCTGGGGGAGGCGCTCGAGGGCGCTCCGACAGTAGGGCGCACGAGGGCGCTAGTAGGCAGTCAGTAGTGGTGGGCCCTAAGAAAATTCGGTCCTAGCGGAGGACCTGCTCTGAAACCATGTTAGAAAGTACGAAACAGGAATGAATGAACTAGCACAAAGTTGGGTACAAGAAGGAAACCCTAAGTTTGTGTACCCCCTAAGGCTAAACCCACTATAGCCTACACAATGTAAACATACAATGTTTGACAGTGATTTCACCGAGACGTTCGCTCCGGTCAGCCGACACACTTCACTTCGGATTCTTCTCGCAATCGCCGCCATGAAGAAGAAGAAGCTGCGGCAAATTGACGTCGCCAATGCATTTCTCTACGCACCTGTTGACGCCGAAATCTTCGTCGAACTTCCACACGGCTCCAACGGAGAGCCCAACCAAATCTGTCAGCTACTGAAGTCCATGTACGGCATCAAACAGGCTCCAAGACTGTGGCAGCAGTATCTACACGCTCGACTCATCCGCATCGGATTCCGACAGCTACCACACGACCAGGGCATGTACCGGCTCACGAAAGGTGACGACTACATTCTGCTCATCGTCTACGTGGACGATCTGCTCTACATCGGCTCGACCGACGGCGTCACTACTTGGTTTGAAGGGGAGCTGCAGCAGGACCTCACTCTCACAGTGTCATCAACCGTCACGCAATACCTCGGCCTCAACATCCAGGAAGAGGAAGGTGCGATCTATCTCAATGCCGCGAAATATGCCGACACTATCGCCAAACGCTTCGGACTCACCCCGACCACCATCTCCACGCCATACCACTACACGGCAGGAAATCACAAGGAAGGCTCCGCTCCGCTTCAGCCCGCAGGCATACGCGATTACCAGAGAAAGCTGGGGTGTCTCCTCTTCGCGGCCGTCACCTGCCGTTCGGATCTATCGTACTCAGCAAGCCAACTCGCCACCTACCTCAAAAGGCCCGAGGCAGAACACATGGCGGAGCTCGATCGCGCTCTTCACTACCTCGCTAGTACTCCGACGATCGGCCTGACCTATCACAAGAACGGAACCTCGACACCTAAGTTAATCGGCTACGTCGACGCCGATCACGCCGGCGACTCCGACAACAGACGCTCGCGCACCGGCTACATCTATCGCTTCGAACCTATCGGACCTATCTCCTGGCAGTCGAGCAAGCAGGAGTTAATCGCCCTCTCCTCAGCTGAAGCAGAATATATCGCACTCTGCTCAGCCACCAAGGAAGGACTGTACCTTCGCGAACTCCTGGAGGAAGCGAAACTGGCTCAGTTACCCAGCTTCTCCCTGTTCTGCGACAACCAGTCAGCAATTCGCATAGCCAACAAAAATGGATTCGCGAACAGGACGAAGCACATCGCCCTGCGATATTTCTTCGTGAAGGACGAGATCGAGAAGGGGAGACTCGAGCTGTCTTACTGCCCCACGTCTGAGATGGCAGCTGATTACTTGACCAAGAAACTCGGAAAGCAGAAGTTCGAGTACTGCATGCTGCTGACTGGACAGAGCCACGTCACCAGCAGCGACACTCCAGAAGCGAAGGGGAGTGTTGGAAACAAGTGATCTAAGCGCTCTGTCGTGTCGAAACACTAAGTCATAAACGAAGCGAAACACAGCGAAGCATCAGCGAGTCAACCCTCGGAGGTTGAGCAACTGCTGGAGGTTACGCGAAAGTCAAAGGTCAGCGACCTTTGACCTGACAAGTACAGCGCGACAGCAAGGACAAACAGCTGACTCGTCATTGAGCAGTTGCCCGAGTCGTCACTGTATCGAACCGCAACAGCAATAGTAAAACGGTTATTAACTGTATCTCTTTGTATTCCTTGTACTCTTATAAAAGCTTGTATCTCTTTGCTTTAATCAATCTACTTTGCCCTCACATACCAGCGCAAGGTGGTTCACAGGCTTATCATTAAAACGCTTCCGCTATTACATTATTCCTACTCAGAGTTTAGTTCTGCAAAGATCCTAAGGGCTTTTTCTCATCCCAACATTATACCCCTTAGGGTAAGCCCCACTACAGCCTAGAGATAACAAATGTAATTTGACAGTGGGGACATATAGCATGCAGGAAGCACAAGTGAGCACTTAGCAGGAAGCTGTGTAGCTTGCAGCAGGCTGCATGGTTAGCAGTTGACTATTGACTCTAAAGTCACACTAGTCGCCCTCACTCTAAACATAAGGCATAAGATGACAGGACTGGGATTGGGGGATGGGAATTTAGATGATTATTTTATACAAATATTTGGGTACTAGGAGTCAAACAAAACAGCACAAATAACTTCCTAAGCGGGTTTGGCGCGTCTACAGCCAGGTGATACCGTAGTGATTCCTGCTGCTGCTGCTGGTGACAGAGCTACACATAAACACCAGCCCCCCAGCTGAGGTACCGCTGTTCTAACTGGTTTGGCGCTTCTACAGTCATTGCCTACTAAGTGTGCTCATGACCACTACTGAAACTCTGCTGCCGCCGCCGCCGCTGCTGCTGCTGCTGGTGCTGAAAACGCTAAGATAAACACTAGCCCGACCAGCTGAGCCAGTTGTTGACTTGCGTGAAGGTGTTGGCATCGTATCCTGTGGTGTCCGTGATAATCCCAGGGTCAACCCAGTCCGCGCGGGAAGACGCCGCGCCCGGCCCCTTGCTGCCCGCCTCCGCCAGAAACATGCAGCTGCCCTCGTTCCACGACAGCCACCCGTCCTTCTCGATCACCTGCGAGGGGATGGGAGATGGGAGATGGGATGGGGGGGAGGTGGGGTGGGGAGGTGGGAGGAAGGTAAGCAAACATGCAGCTCGCCCTCGTTCTACCATAGCCATCCAGGGTTTACGGTTAACGGAAGGTGGATGGGGAGTGATACGAACCGCGCTGTCGAGTGATTCATTGGCTACTCTCAGAGGAGTGACGGAAACGGAAACGGAAACGGAAACCGCGCAGACAGAAACGGAAGGAAGGAATGCCTACCGCGGGGAGATCGGCGTTGATGAAAACAGTGAAAGCGCATTTCTTCCACGGACGGCCCAGATACACCTTGGTCGTGCCGCTGTCCGCCGAGACAACAGCGTCGCGAATCACAATCCCCGTCGGGGTATCCTTGGCGCGGCCCGACGCCGTCAGAGTCCCGAAAGAGGGGCTCGGGTGAAGCTGGATTTTCGGCGCGTCGATAACCACGGCCGCGTCGCCGAAAATGAAATCCTGCGAGCCGCCGATGTAGCAGTTTTTGTAGTACTGGCGACCCGCGTCCACGTACAATGTATCTTGCGATCCGTCGAACGCGCAGTCGAAGAGAGCTGATTGGTCGCCCGTGGCGCGGAAAGCGACTGCCTGGTGATTATCGGGGCCTGCCGTGTTTTCGAACTTGATTCCGAAGGCGACGAACCTGTTGGGTGGTTACCAGGTGGGCGGTTACATGAGAAAAGCGGAAACTCGTGCGTGAGATAGCAAGATGTCACGGGAAAGGAGACGAGAGAAGGGGGGGAGAGACATAAGGGCAGAACGGGGGGAAAGAGATAAGGGCAGAACGAGGGGGGAGAGATAAGGGCAGAAAGGTTAAACGGCGGCATTACCTGTCACTATCTACGCCGACTGTGGCCGACTCGAACGTCCCCGACCCGCTGCCGTAACTCGCGTCGCCCGTGATAATCGTCTTATCTGCGCCCGCGCCAATCAGAACGATAATCGTCTTATCTTGCTGTTGCTGCTCTTATTCTTCTTGTCCTTCTTCTTGTTATGGTCGTGGTGGTGGTGGTGGAACAGAAGCCTTCTTGAAGTAGAACCGCCCTCCGAATCCTCCCCGGCTGCAGCGGCAAATCCGGCGTTCAGCCTCGTCTGAAGCTCCTGAAGTTGCTGGTACAATCCCGGCTCAAGCCAATCCATCGCGCCGCTCCCCGCGGAACTCGTGCTGCTGGATCGGACGGCCATGCGGCGTCCGCGCACGGGCGCCACATCCTCCTCTGTTGATACGACGCTAGTATCGGCTGATGCGGCGGCTTTGGCGGCGGCGCTGGTGATGGACACGAGTGCTTCAAGAGTGTTTCCTGCCCTCTTAGCCGTATACTGCGGAGAGGAAGTGGGGAGATGGGGGATAAGGAGAGAGAGGCACGGGAATTCAGATTCGCATACAGCCAGTGCTGCTGTTGGACGGAGAAAAGAAGCTGTTCCGCGGTAAAAGAACGCAAGTGAGAAAACCTCGGTGCAAGAAACGGCACATGCGACCAATGCTGCCGAATGCTTTACATAGAAGAATCTGTAACGAACCTCAAGGTGTACGTAGGCGGGGAAGCCTTGCGCCGCGGGTGAGAAAGTTTGGAAACCGTCAACACAGTTGTCGATCTGCGTGTCGGCGGCCGCCAACCAGTACGGCACGTCGCGCTGATTCGTGCCCGCCTCGACCGCATCCCCCGCCTGCCCCAGGTAGCGCAGCGCGATGGTGGCTTGTCGCGCGCAGCTCCTCGCCATGGCATTCGTAAAATGATCTTCCTCCACGTTGTTCGACTTAATCTCTTCGGCGGCCTCAATTAGCGCAGCGACTTGCGCTTGCACCGCTGCGATCATAGCCGTGGTCACTTGCTCCGGCGTCTGCGGCACGACGCCTAGTGTTCTCCGCGCCACGCGGAACTCTGTCGCGCAGTGCGTTCGGTTGGATGAAGCGATGCACGCGTCAGGGTGGGAAAGGACGAGATAGTTATCGGCCATCTCGCAGCAGGAGATTACGGCCAGCGCGAGTCCTAGTCCAGCAAATGTCCATATGGCCGCGCGTTTCACCCAACCAATCTCCATCTTCGCGACGAGAGAGAGCTCACAAAGAGTACGGAAGGGAGAGGTATTAAATGCCGTGTCTGGGTGATTCTGCCTCAGCAGTACTTTTAGAAGGACCGATTGAAAGGTGGAGGTGAAACGTAAGCAGAACTGATGGCTGATGGTGGCTCAACTGATGGTTGATGGTAATTAGAAACGCAGATTTATGCATCACCTCTTGGTAGGGCGTCGGTCGTGAGCGCCGTGAGGGCTTTCTGTTCGGTAAGTCGTCCTCACAAGGAGGGCGGAAGATTACTGTGACACGCAGGCCAGCTTATCGCGGCTCGATTCTATGGATGGCGAAATCGAAGCGCGATATGTTCAGCCCAACCATTGGCTGTTTCACGGAGCGCAGAGGGGCTTATTGCCCCTCGGCGATCAGGACAGGACCATGGTGAGCGTGAGGGCGAATCCAGTGAGCACCCAGAAAACACTTACGTGAAGGCTAGGTAGCAAACACTTACGAGTTCGAGGGATGTACGAGACTTCTAGAGCAGAGAGTGTCCGTGCTACATCAATACAGTTCTGCAACTCATTATTTCGGGGAACATCCGTCCCGAAACAAAAATGTTGGCGGGGCCACCACCATTCGATATGTCAACATCGCCAGGCAATTGGTACGGAAAGGCAGCGGCGCGTGACAAAGACAGTGCTTGTAACGATTCTTGACGTACTCTGGAAGCCTTAGCGGTCCGAGTGGATTTGCTATGAGTAGCTTTCGCTACAACGAAAGACCAAACCCGACACCAGGGCCGGTTAACGCCCAACGGCATTTGGCACACACGCAACTACGAATTTGCGGAAACCAAATCCCGCCTCGGCAAACTGAAAGCTGACATCTGCCTCACTCTATTTAGTGAATCCAAAAACATTATGTGCTCGTTGAATAATCTGAGGATTCTAATTCTCCTGAGGACACATCAGAAGTTTGTGTATGTAGTGGTATTCATTTTAACGCTATCTTGACGTCACTCCTCAGGGCCGTCTTGGGCCTTGGCCAGCCGAATCATGTCGTCGATCCTGAGAATGGTGATGGCGGCTTCCGTGGCAAACTGCAGCAAGAGGAGACGAAGACAGAGCGAGCATTCAGTGAGAGGGGAAGAGGACACGACGAATATGCAGGGGGGGGGGGGGGGGGGGGGGGGGGGGGGGTTGTCGCCGGATTACACAGCGAGGAATGGCACGCACTGTAGAGGGGAGTGCATGGTAACACAAACACAACAGGCAAGACCAAGTCCATGACACTGGCAGAGCTTCCCCAAGGATATATTGCTTTTGCTCATTGCAGGCTCAGGTCCATAGACAGATAACCAATATAAGATCAGCTTAAGACCAAAACCGCGATGCAGGCAGACTTTCAGGTGGCCCCACACTCCTGCCTCTTCGTTGCTCCTCGGTGTCCCGTTGACCAGGTAGGTCCAAACCAGATCGGTACCTGATCAATACCAACAGTTGCTGCTGCAGAACAAAGCACCAATAAGCCCCCCTTCATGCAGGATATTGGTTTTGCTCATTGCTGGCTCGAGCACCCCTGCTTCCACGTTGTTTGTTCCTCAGCACAGCACACCATTCACCAGACCAGATCCAGGCCGTACCTGATGGACACCAGAGCAAAGCAGCACAGCCCTCTTACCTGCAGGATCTTGGTTTTGCTCATGGCTGGCTCCAGCACGCCCGCCTCCACGTTGTTCCTCAACACACCGTTCACCAGGTCCAAACCGTACCTGTCTCACAGGGAAGGGGAAGAAGGAGGAGGAGAAATAATAGACGTTTGACTAAATCTGAGACGTCTCAAACTTGTTCCTCAGCACACCATTCAACAGGTCCAATCCGTACCTGTCTCACAGGACACAAGGGGGAGGGGAAATGACAAGAATGGCATGTGGCAAGACAAATATGACTCATGGTAAGACAACGATGACTCCTCTTAAGACCAGAATGACTCGTGGTAAGACAAAAATGACTCGTGGTAAGCCAAATATGCCATACGGTAAGAGGCACTCGTGATGGTCAAAGTGACTGATATGCACTAGCATGGTGAAAAGGTGGTAAGCCGCACTCTTTGGGATACAGAGTCTCTTGTAAATCTCGGTTCAACTCAACCCCACCCCAAACTCACTCTGCCAAGTGCTGCTTGTCGCTTTTAGTCTGCGACATGTGGTGGTACGCCCTCAGCTTCGCCACCAGGTCCGTGGCATCCTTGGCAGCATTCACTGCCAGCACCTGAAGAAGCACGGTGAGCAGCAACGGATGGAGAGGCATTGGGAGGAAGCAGCTCGGGGTTAAACCCATCGACATGTGGTGGTACGCCCTCAGCTTCGCCACGAGATCTGTGGCATCCTTGGCAGCATTCACCGCCAGCACCTGCAGCAGCATAGGGAGCAACAACTGGCGGAGATGCATTGGGAGGAAGAGGCTCGACGATAAAGCCCATCGGCAAGTGGTGGTACGCCCTCAGCTTCGCCATGAGATCTGCAGCACCCTTGCAGCATTCACTGCGAGCGCCTGAGGGGGAGAGAGGCAGCGCAGGGAACCCTAAACCCTAGGCAGGGCTTCAGTAAACTCGGAGATAGCCAGCTGCTCCCGGGACCCAAGGGTGATGGCGAGGTTCTCCAGGTGCACAGACAGGGCCTCCTCCACCGTGCCCTCCCCTTTCACAGCACCTCATTGGACAGGGTACAGCTCGGGAGAAAGAGAGGGGCACACGTACCTTGGGAATGACGAGCAGGGCTTCAGCAAACTCGGCTATAGCCAGCTGCTCCCGCGACCCAAGAGTTGTAGCGAGATTCTCCAGGTGAACAGACAGGGCAGCCTCCACAGCGCCTCCCCCTGCTACCACGGAGTTGGACTCGAGTGTGCGCTTGACAATGCAGATGGCATCGTGAAGGGAACGGTCCATCTCGTCGAGCATGTAGTCGTTGGCCCCGCGGAGGAGGAGGGTGGCCTGTAATATGGGAGAGGTCAAGGGAAAGAGAGTGGGGTTTATGGTTGGTGGTGCAGATGGCATCGTGAAGGGAGCGATCCATCTCATCTAACATGTAGTCATTGGTGCCGCGGAGGAGGAGAGTGGCCTGTAGTGTGGGAGAGGACACACAAGGGAGAGTGGGTTGGTGGTGCAGATGCATATGCAGCTAGCGGTACATCTAATCCAGCATGTAGTCGTTGGCTCCTTGCAGGAGGAGGGTGGCCTGCAAAGCGCACAACAGACGGGAGGGAGAGTGGCTTGACAATGCACATGGCGTCGTGGAGGGAACGGTCCATCTCATCCAGCATGTAGTCGTTGGCTCCTCGCAGGAGGAGGGTGGCCTGTTGAGGACGGGTATGGGGACGGGACGTTGAGGAGATAAGTATGGGGGGGAGGTAGCGTGAGGGAGTCTTGGCATGGTTGGTAGTGCAGAAGGCGTCGTGCAGCAAGCGATCCATCTCGTCCAGCATGTAGTCGTTGGCTCCTCGCAGGAGCAGAGTTGCCTGTGGTGTACCGTGGGGAGGCACGAGGAGCTGCTGACTGTAGGAGGATTATAGATGTCATACTCATGCTCCTCGTATAACCCTCTGTGCCCCCCTGTGCCCCTCTGTGCCCCCCTGTGCCCCTCTGTGCCCCCCTGTGCCCCCCTGTGCCCCCCTGTGCCCCTCTGTGCCCCCCTGTGCCCCTCTGTGCCCCCCTGTGCCCCTCTGTGCCCCCCTGTGCCCCTCTGTGCCCCCCTGTGCCCCTCTGTGCCCCCCTGTGCCCCTTTGTTCTGTGCTCCCTTGCGCCTTCCCTGGCTCCCCCTACTTCACCCCCTAATACACCACCCCTAATACACCACCCCTAATACACCTCCTCTGCTTGCGCCAGCAACCCTCTACCTCTGCAACCCTGTGCGCCTGTGCCCGCTCTACTGCCCCTGCTCTCCTCACTCACCGCCTTGGCGGCCTTAAAGCCCTTGAAGATCAAGATGTTGTCATCTGCCACCCGCTCCTCATACACCTCCTCTGCCTGGCCCAGCATGGACGCATCAAACGTCTCCCCCCCCTCCATGTCCGCGAATGTGAGCATCTGAAAAGAGAGGGAGTAAAGGAGGGGAGACATTGATGGGTGCTACGTGTTTTTGTTGAACAACAACCACCCGCTCATCATACACCTCCCTTGCCTGCCCCAGTGGACGTGTCAAATCTCCCCCTCCCCTCCATGTCCGCAAATGAGGGCATCTGAGAGTAGACACGAGCAACAAACAGAACCCCACTTCGTCTTGATCGAATCAGTTAGAAAAATGTCGAGCCAAACCTCTTTTATTTTCTTTTCTTTGTGCGCCTCGAATCGCGACAGGGGTTTCCAGAGTCAGGCCGAACCTAAAAAACTTCGACGCGTTTATCGCTTCGTCTCGAAGCACGTGGGGTTCGACGTGGAACCACTTTCCCCGCCAACACCCCCTCTCCCCGCTCCCGTCAGAACCACTTTCATCCTGCACAATTTCCTGCTTGATGAAAAATCGAGTCCTCCTTATTACCACCTGGTTACCAAGTTACCAACCACCCCCACCCACACCAGGCCCACTCACATGCCCGCCTAGCCCTCCTGCCCCACTCTCCCTCCTCACCCCCAGTGTCATCCTCGCCCCCCTCGTCCCACTCACCTCACCATGGTAGCGCCAGACGCCTTTTCTTCACTCGCCTGCCTCCTGCCTCCCAGCATTCCGTTCACGGTTCACCACCCCCACACCAAGCCCACACACACGCCCCCTCCCCCCACTCGCCCCCCTCGTCTCACCATGGTAGCACCAGATGCCTTGGCGATGTGCTTCAGGTCGTCCTCTGCCTGCCACCCTCCTTCATACCGCCCACCTTCTAGTCAGGGTACCAACCCCACCCACACCAGCTCACTCGCACACACCACTCACACGCACCCCTGGCCCATTCCCATCTTGCCCCCCGCGCCTCACCATGGTAGCACCAGACGCCTTGGCGATGTGCCTCAGGTCGTCCTTCTTGACTCGCCGCACTGCAATGGCGCCTGCCTCCACGAAATACTGGTGGAGGAGGGACGAGGGAAGGAGGTAAGGATACGGTGGAGGGGATAGTGAGGCAAAGGGGAGGGGTGGGGTGTGCCTGAGGTCGTCCTTCTTCACCCTCCGCACTGCAATAACGCCTGCCTCCACAAATTACTGGTAGGTGGAAGTGAAGAGGGGAAAGGGGAAAGAGAGACAAGCAGTTGGGGGGGGGAGGGATAGGCAGGGGGGAAGGGGTGGCATGCGGTGAGGGCGACAGGTGGGGGAAAGTAGTAGAAGGGCAAGGCGCATGGGGAAAACACAGTCTCATGCACTGACAAGGACTAGCCAATTGCACACAGGACATGAAGGGTCACGATAACAGCTCAACCTGAGCAACAAGTGACGTGTCATCCAGACAGCTCGCTGTGAGCGCCAATTCAGCACGGCAGCTCACCTTGAGCGACATGTCATCACGACAGCTCACCTTGAGCGCCACGTCAGCACAGCAGCTCACCTTGAGCGACATGTCATCGATGCCCTTGGTGGTGAGAATGACATTTGCACCCGCCTTGAGCATCTTTTGAATGCGCTCCTTTGTAATGTCCGACTCCCTGCCATGTAGAAGCAACAAGACAACACAGAGCACATCACACTGACTTTAACCACCACAGTACTATGTGCTGCCTTGAGCATCTTCTGAATGCGCTCCTTTGTGATGTCCGACTCCCTGCCGTGAGGAACAAGCACAGCACAGCACAGAGCAGAAGAGAGAAGCACCAATTGTAAGCAGCGGCACCAATACACATGGCCCGCCTTGAGCATCTTCTGTATGCGCTCCTTTGTGATGTCCGACTCCCTGCCACGAGCCATGAGGAACAAGCACAACATAGAGCAGCACAAAATGACACGAAGCTTGTAACCACCACAACACTCCATGCCGCCTTGAGCATCTTCTGAATGCGCTCCTTTGTGATGTCCGACTCCCTGCCATGAGGAACAAGCGCAACACAGAACAGCACAGCACAGCACAGCACAGCACAGCACAGCACAGCACAGCACAGCACAGCACAGCACAGCACAGCACAGCACAGCACAGAAGAGAGAAGCACCGATTGTAAGCAGCGGCACCAATACACATGACCCGCCTGGAGCATCTTTTGAAGCGCAACACAGCAAAGCACAGCCCCAGAACAACACCAGTTTGTAACCACCACCACAACACTCAATGCGGCCTTGAGCATCCTATGTAATGTCCGCGCAGAGGGGCAGCATCCTATGTACGCGCTCCTTCGTAATGTCCGACGGCTTTGAGACTTCTCAAAAGCGGCTCCTTCATAATGTCCGACGCCCTGCACCTTTTTTGTTTCCCTCACCTCTCCCAAATCTATCCAACTCTTTTGGGTCTGTCACCAGCACCTGCACGCCCATCTGCATGCGAGTGCACGCACTGCAGGTTAAGCTCCAGGCCCCTTCCCTCCCAAGGCCCAAACTACTACAACCCCTCCTCTCACCTTACCTCTATTGCTCTCACCTCTCCCGAATCTTATCCAGCTCCTTGGGGTCGGTCACGAGCACCTGCATGCCCATCTGCATGCGAGGCGGCCCCACGTACCCCTCCCTTGTCCTCCCAACCTTGCTTCTTTCCACACCTCTCCCGAATCTTATCCAGCTCCTTGGGGTCTGTCACGAGCACCTGCATGCCCATCTGCATGCGAGGCGGCCCCACGTACCCCTCCCTTGTCCTCCCAACCTTGCTTCTTTCCACACCTCTCCCGAATCTTATCCAGCTCCTTGGGGTCTGTCACGAGCACCTGCATGCCCATCTGCATGCGAGGCGGCCCCACGTACCCCTCCCTTGTCCTCCCAACCTTGCTTCTTTCCACACCTCTCCCGAATCTTATCCAGCTCCTTGGGGTCTGTCACGAGCACCTGCATGCCCATCTGCATGCGAGGCGGCCCCACGTACCCCTCCCTTGTCCTCCCAACCTTGCTTCTTTCCACACCTCTCCCGAATCTTATCCAGCTCCTTGGGGTCTGTCACGAGCACCTGCATGCCCATCTGCATGCGCGTGCGCTGCAGATTGAAGTCCAGGCAGGCGATGTGGGCGGGTCCCACACACCCCTCCCTTGCCCTCCCAACCTTGCTTCTTGGACACACCTTTCCCGAACCACTAATTCACTGCATACACCACGCACCTCTCTCTGATCTTGTCCAGCTCTTTCGGGTCTGTCACCAGCACCTGCACGCCCATCTACATGCGCGTGCGCTGCAGGATGAAGTCCAGGCACGCAATGCGGGCGGGCCCTTTCCCTCCCAAGGCCCATACTACTACAGCTCCTCCTCTCGCTTTCCCTCTCCGAACCTCACCTCTCTCTGATCTTGTCCAGCTCCTTGGGGTCTGTCACGAGCACTTGCACGCCCATCTGCATGCGCGTGCGCTGCAGGTTGAAGTCCAGGCACGCGATGCGAGCAGCAGGCCCCACGCACCCCACCCTTGCACCCACTCAACCACGCATTTGCTGCACACGCACCTCTCTCTGATCTTGTCCAGCTCTTTCGGGTCCGTCACGAGCACCTGCACGCCCATCTGCATGCGCGTGCGCTGCAGGTTGAAGTCCAGGCACGCGATGCGGGCGGGTCCCACGCGGCGGGGCATGCCCTGGGCGGCGCGCGTGGTGTTGAGCGCATAGCCATTGATGAGAGTGCTGTCCCTCGCACTCTTGCCGTGCGCCTTGAGAATGTTGATGGCCTGAGGTGGAGGAGGCGGGGACGCGGGATGCACACGAGAGAGGCAAGGGAGCGGAGAAGGGGCAGCAGAAGAGGGGCAGAAGAGCGGCAGAAGGGGGCAAGTGGGGAAAAGGGAGGAGGGTTGTGAAGACAAGAGAACAGGACTCGTGGGCGAGCCCCACGAGGTGGGGCATGCCCTGGGTGGCACGCGTGGTGTTGAGCGCATAGCCGTTGATCAGCGCACTGTCCCTGGCGCTCTTGCCATGCGCCTTGAGAATGTTGATGGCCTGGAATGGAGGTAGGGGGAGGGGGTGAGGGACGCACAAGAGAGAGGCCAGGCAAAGGAGAAGGGGCAGCAGAGGAGGGGCGGAAGAGGGGCAGATGGGCCAAAGGGAGGCGGGTTGTGGAAACAAGAGAGCAACAGCAGGACGTGCAGGCGGGCCCCACGCGGGGCGGCATGCCCTGGGCGGCGCGCGTGGTGTTGGGCGCATAGCCGTTGATGAGTGCACTGTCCCTCGCACTCTTGCCGTGCGCGTTCAGAATGTTGATGGCCTGGGAGGGAGCGTTTAAAGGGGGATGACGGCGGGGAGAGGGGAGGAGGGGGACGGAGGAAGAGGCGGAGACAGGGAAACGAAGAGGGGACGGGAGATGCAAGGAGTGGTGTTGGGCGCATAGCCGTTGATCAGCGCACTGTCCCTCGCACTCTTGCCATGCGCCTTCAGAATGTTGATTTAGGATGGAGGAGGGGGTGTGGGACGCACAAGCGAGCGGAAAAAAGGCAGCAGAAGAGGGGCAGACGAGAGGAAGAAGAGGGGAAGGTGGGCAAAAGGGAGGCAAGTGGTGGTGGCAAGCGAGCAGGATGTGACCAGCGCACTGTCCCTCGCACTCTTGCCGTGCGCTTTAAGAATGTTGATTGCCTGAGGTGGAGGAGGGGGTGTGGGACGCACAAGCGAGCAGAAAAAAGGCAGCAGAAGAGGGGCAGACGAGAGGAAGAAGAGGGGAAGGTGGGCAAAAGGGAGGCAAGTGGTGGTGGCAAGCGGGCAGGATGTGATCAGCGCACTGCCCCTCGCACTCTTGCCGTGCGCTCTAAGAATGTTGATTGCCTGAGGTGGAGGAGGGGGTGTGGGACGCACAAGCGAGCAGAAAAAAGGCAGCAGAAGAGGGGCAGACGAGAGGAAGAAGAGGCGAAGGTGGGCAAAAGGGAGGCAAGTGGTGGTGGCAAGCGGGCAGGATGTGATCAGCGCACTGCCCCTCGCACTCTTGCCGTGCGCTCTAAGAATGTTGATTGCATTGCCTGAGATGGAGGAGGAAGGGTGCGGATTGCATAAGAGAGAGGCAAGGCAACGCAGGAGGAGGTGAAGAGCGGCAGGCGGGGTAGGAGAGACAAGGGAGGAGAGACGCCAAAATAAGAGAGCAAAAGCCAAGAGGGCATGCCCTGGGTGGCACACATGGAGTTGAGAGTGTGGCTGTTGACCAGCGTACTTTGCAACTCACGTCACGTTCCCATACATTGATGCGGTATCTGACTTCGCCCTTCTCGTTCGTCATCTTCACCGCTTGATTTAAAGTAGTGTTTTAAGACGTCTCAAAACACTTTGCAACACATGTCACGTTGGCATACCTTAATGGGGTATCTGACTTCGCCCTTCTCGTTCGTGGTCTTCACCGCTTGAACCGCGTCCACAACCTGCAAGGGACAGCAAAGGGCGCAAACGAGTGAAGAACACAAGAGGAAGGAACCAAAGAGAGAGGTTCATCAGAACCTTTCACAGCTTGAATCACAAAAACAAAACAGGTAGAGAAGTCTCAACAGCCATCGATACAAGAACAGAATCGACTCAGTTACAAAATTGATAAAGAACATACCCGCTACAAGCAGCAGATACTCGATACAAGCAGCAGCACCCACCATCTTGCCAAAGAACTCGCTGTCCATGTCGACAATCTTGGAGGCCATGCTGGTCTTGGCCGCATTCAGCAGCGTCGACTTGCCCAGCTTCTCCACCTGCTCTTGCACGCAGGGCAGCAGCACAGGCAGACAGTAAGGAGGGAGAGGGTGTAAGTGAGGGGACAGTCGATAACTATCTTGGAGGCCATGCTCGTCTTGGCCGCATTCAGCAGCGTTGACTTGCCTAGCTTCTCCACCTGCTCTTGCAACAGCACAGCACAGGCAGAGGGCGTAGGGCAGGCGGTAAAAGGGGCTTAAGGCCTGACCGGCGGTGGGCCAGAATCACCAATCTTGACGACCATGCTGGTCTTGGCTGCTTCAAGGAGCATTGCCTTGCGTAGCTTCTCCACCTGTCCGCCCGTGTGTGCAGAGCAGCCCACACAGAGAGGAATAGTGTGCACAGCAGCGAATAATAAGTGCAAGAAAAGGTTGGGGAGTCGGGGGACTGGGGAGAGGAAGGAGGGGAGGATTGTAGGAGAAAGGAAGACGAGCCACTACTGCAAACCCCCAGCAATAATTTATCAGCCAATTCCACCCCACTCACTCACCTAACTGCCAGCTTGCCGTCCACATACTTGCACGCCTCCCTCATCGCCAGCTGCAATGGCTCCATGGCTTCACTCCATTCACACGCCACCACCATTATCCCTGCAACCTACCCCCAACGCCACCTCACTCACTCACCTTGACTGCCAGCTTGCCGTCAACATACTTGCACGCCTCCCCTCCTGACACGTCAATACCATTATCCCTAAAACCCACCACCCGTTGCTGGGACCCACCATTCCTCAAACACCACCGCCCTCACCTTGACTGCCAGCTTGCCGTCCACATACTTGCACGCCTCCCTCATCGCCAGCTGCGGTGACACACCAGAGACGGTTAGAGAAATGAAGAAACAGAAAAGAAGGTCCGGTGAGAGGGAGGTCCGGTGAGAGGGAGGTCCGGTGAAGACCTCTTATCGGGGTTCCCGGTTAAGGAGGCTATAGACTCGGGTTATGAGTTTAAGAAGCTAAGGTCCTGGGTTCTGGGTTTACATAACTATCGCCTTATATTCTGGGTTGAAGAAGCCATTGCCTTGGGTCTTGGGTTTGGCAGGCAATGGTCCTGGGTTAAAAAATTTGGAGGATATAATTCGGGTTCAGACTTAGGAGGCCTATGGTCCTGGTTCCTGGGTTTGCCAGGCTGTAGGTCGGTTCACGGGTTTTGGAAGCTATGGTCTGGGGTTCTGGGTTTGGGAGGCTATGGTTTCAGGTTAGATCACAGGGGAAGCGGGGGAGAGGGGTTCACTCACTCGATACCCGCTGATGATGGACGTTGGGTGAATGCGGTTGCGAACAAGGTCGTCCGCCCTCTGCTCACACACGCACAACACACGAACAAGCAACGAAGGGGAGTGCAAAGGGGTGAGTAACTACTACAAGGTGCCTCAGAATTTGTCGCACCACGCACAAGGTCGTCCGCCCTCTGCTCACACACGCACAACACACGAGCGAAGGGGGAGAAATGAAGGGGAAGGGGAGTGCAACGGGGTGAATGCTCTACAACAAGGCGCCTCAGAAATTGTTGCATCATGCACAAGAGTTCGTCCGTGCTCAGCGCAGGTTGAGAAAGGGGAGGAAGATGAAAAATGACATTGGAACATAAGAAGTCACGGACACACATGGAGACAGGCAGACACGCACACACATGGAGGCCGTTACCTTGAGCAGCTCGGCAGCAATGATGACGACTGACATGGTGCCGTCCCCCACCTCACCTCCGTCTTATGCATCTAACCCACATGGAACGGCCTTCAATCCTTCAATCCTGCTCTAAAAGCCACTACCCAGCACCCAACATGCGCACACATGAAGACACGCACCTTGAGCAACTCAGCAGCAATGATGACGACTGACGTGGTGCCGTCCCCCACCTCCCTGTCCTGTAGCTCTGCCAGATCCACCAGCACCTGGAGACACACACGGGCAGGGGAGGGGAGAGGGGGGTGGGAATTTGTTGCTTTCAAGGGACCTCAAAGCACGTCCCTCTCCTCCCTGTCCTGCAGCTCCGCCAGATCCACCAGCACCTGCCAGAGGGAGAGGGATAGAACGAACAAGGAGGGACAAGACTTCGAGAAGGGGGGGCAAAAGGAGGAGGAGGAGGAGGAGGAGGAGGAGGAGGAGGAGGAGGAGGAGGAGGAGGAGGAGGAGGAGGAGGAGGAGGAGGAGGAGGAGGAGGAGAAGGAGGAGGAGGAGAAGGGAGGCAAGATGAGTACCTTAGCTGCAGCACCCTTTTACTTACACCTAAATTGATCGGGCCAGGTAAGTGTTGTTCGACAGATTGTGTCGAGATTTTCGAGGAATTCCAAGAGCAACAGCAGCAGGCAACGACTTTTTCCACCTTGCCCGCGGTGCAACCTTGGCCACGGTGCTAGTTCATCAGATCAGGCTGATACCTTGGCAGCAGGATGCTCCACCTCCAGCTGCTTCAGAATGGTGGCTCCATCGTTGGTGATGGTGATGTCACCAATGTCGTCCACCAGCATCTGAGAGCAATGGACGCAGGGGCGCACGGGACGCAGGGGATGCAGGGGACGCAGGGGGGACCAATTGGGAACCGATGAGTGATGAACAGAGGATACGGGCTAAGTTGGTGATGGTGATGTCGCCAATGTCGTCCACCAGCATCTGACAGGCAAGGAGATGCAAGGAGGACCGATTGATTGGGAACCGACGAGTGGAAAAGAGGAAAAGAGGAGAAAGGACGACGGGAAAAACGGTGAGAGGAGGATGTTGAGAGGAGAACGGTGAAGACAGAGGGAGAGGGAGCAGCATGAGAGGGAGGAGTCATTGGTGACGGTGATGATGATAGATCACCATCACCAATGTCGCCCCTGACGAGCAGGAGGATGAGACGGATCATCAAGGGTGGAGTAGGACAAGGGGAAAACAACCAGTTCAACAAAGGTTGACCCGCGAGTGAGCTGCGCACTGAAGCTGTCAATGACAGGGATCGGCCAAATCGTAAGCCAGCAGCTGACAGTAAGAACGAACCGCCGCGTGTGGCGTTCATAAGGCATAACAAGGTAATGGTGATATGTGCGGAGTCTCACCTTATCCAATCCCACGGGACCCAGCGAGCTCTTGACGATGTTGGCTATGGCCATGCACGCCGTGACTGGCGATCGCGAATGGAGGCATGCAAAGAAGGGGGCATGAGGAGGAAACGATACGGAGGGAGGGAGAGGTTAAGACTCGTGCTGTGGAGAGGCTATCAACTGGTAAATGCCTTTATTATGTTGGTTATGGCAATGCACGCCGTGACTGGAGATCGAGCATGGAGTTGTTCAGAGGAGGGAGCGTGAGGGGGAAACAACATGGAGGGAGGGAGGAAGTGGTTGAGACTGGTCTGTGGAATACCTATCAAATGGCGAGAGGCGGGAGCGTGAGGGGGAAAAACATGGAGGGAGGGAGGGAGTGGTTGAGACTGGTGCTGTGGAAAAGCTATCAAATGGCGAGCTTCTTGATAATGTTGGAGATGGAAAACTGAGGCATTTCGCGAATGGGGAATGGAGATTTGAGTAAGGATCGGTCAGCGAGCTCTTCACACAATCCTGTCAAATTGAGCCATTTTGAGCATAATGTTTGGATTGAGAACGAAACTGCAGCACACCATGGCTGCAAGATTCACGGAGGCGTTCGCACGAGGAATTCCAAAAAACCAGGCTGCAGTTTGTAAAAAACCCTTTCCTTCCAACTTATCACCCCCTCCTTCCCGCTAGAAATTGATCATCAACCGGCCACCCAAAGCACTTTATGATCACGACCACATGAATCCGTCGCTATACCCCCAGCCTTGAACCCTCGACCTTGATGTTGCAGGGAGTGTTTGAGAATTCTAAATAGCACCCTCGATATGATCACGACCCCAATGATTGCGTTGCTGTACACCCCGCCTTGAACCCTCGACCACAACCCTCCCCAAGCACGACGCATTGCTGAGGATGACGAACGAATTACGCGAAAAGCAACGCGAAAAGACGTCGACGCATGCTAAGAAATGACGGACGCACGTGCCAAAAGGTGGACGTCCACGCACGCGAAGATTCCATTCCACTCAGATCCAAGGATCAGGTTACGGTCTGCTTTCCTTCCGCGTGACTTCTTAGAAACCTGTAACCACACACATAACGTTCTGAGCCTCGTACCATTTTGTGTTCGTACGTCTTGACCCGTAATGCGCTCGCCGGCAATCTCTAACCCGTTTGTCGCCATGTGCGCTCGCTGCTGCCTGACTCAAAACGATCTAGATCCGAAGAAAGGAAGCACGTAAACACGGGGAGAAACGAAAGACGACAGATTCAGAATAATACACCATTAACACGTGACCATTAATACACCATTAGATCAAAGACACCGATGGCCGGTAAAAGAAACACGCCTGCTCGTAAGAGTGACCTAAGCAGGAAAGTATCTGGAAACAGATACGATCCAATTCGGAGAGATCGCGAAAAGGAGATTTGAGCGACCAACCTATAGACTTCAAGATCGATCTGTTGGACAGCCGGATCCCGGACGAAACGCCCTTGAAAGTGCGACGCGAAAACAATTCACGGAATGAAGGACGACCAGAGCTGTGATCAGACACGCACGTTTGGTACTGGAAGCGTGCGAATCTGATATAAGTAGGAGCAAGGAGAAGACGAGCAAATCTCTCACTTGCCGATGGACGAGGAAGCTGGAATGATAGAGTCCTCCTGAGAGGTGGTGTCGAAATGCTCATTTTCGCCGATTACCCGAATCAGCCGTGCTAGATGGTGCTTCACCGCTTCAGAACGCAGAATACCGGAATGTTTGGACCACCCATTCGAGATGTGAGATGCAAATGAAAATGGTGCGTGGAAGCGGAAGACAAGCTGAAAACGAATCTCATCGCAGACTGTCCGCCCTAACATCGAGGTTGTCATTAGCGCAGCAACTACAACTCTAAGCCAGTACACTTTAAGCCACTACAACTCATGTTTGAATTTGGCGTGTGAACATTTTGAATACTCTCGAACTCGAAGGTAACCTTCACACCCTGGTTAGATTTGTATACGGCCTTACTTATATTACATCGATTTAATTACTAGTTAGAACACCTAACCAGGGCAAATTTTATCAGTGTAAATCACCCTGATACCCTGATTATCAGGGTGGTTTTTGGTAGTCACACTGATGGCCTAGGGTAATTTTCTCGGGAGCTAGAATTTTCCTGATATGCCAGAGTTTTAAGCACTACTGTCCCGCTTAATAACACACATAAAGAAAAGAGCTATATGAACACGCATGTTGGAGTGGCCCGGTCGGTAGATTGGTACTTCGGAAGGATGAAGACTCGGGATCGAGTCTTGCAGCTCGCGTTTTTGTTCAGAACTTCAGTAGAAACACTTCATCAGGGTATTGAAAATTGTTACACTGTGGCATAAGGGTAATTTTTTTGTAACTACGGAAAACCCTGATGGAAAATAATTTTCCCAAGGGGTCACACTGATAATCAGGTTTTTGCAAAGGTGCAGGACTGATGATAAGGGTTGCTTAAAACCAAAAATTAGCCCTGCACCTAACATTCAGTTATTGGGGAAAAAACTCATGGAGAAAACTAATAATAAAGCATGGACATTACTTTCGTGGCGGTTGCATGCCTCTCCTTGCTTGTTGTACACTTTTTGTTCCATCCTCCCTCTTTCCACGCAACTTATTCCTCCCCCCTGTATCCCCTCTTGATGCTACTCCCACGTTGCGCCCCAAATCCGCCTTCTGCCCATTCGCCACCCCCACCCCTTTCTCCCGCACGGCATCCTCCCTTTTCATATCCTCAAAACTCGGTGGTAACGTAACATTCGCCACGCGAGCAATCCTCCCGATCAGCCCAGCCCGAGCCTCGTGACTGGTGTCATTCTTCACCCAGTCATATGTGGGAATGCGGTACTTGCTCTGCTCAGGCTGCCAATCCGTGGGGTACGTGGCCCAGGAGAGGTCCTCCATGTGCTTGTGCCACACCCACACCGCTCTGCACCCATCTGCCAACACCTCGAATTCGTCCTCGTGTGTCACGAGCTGCTCTAGGAAGTCCGTCTCAAGGAAGCTGCCAGGGAAATGGGCCACAGAGAAGAGGAAGGGTTGGATGGCATGGCATGCATGCATGTTGAGTCACAGTGGCATACGAGGAAATTCTAATGCTGCCATTGCTGCCAATGGCCGAAGACCAGAAGGTAAGGTCCCAGCACGATGACCTGCCAAGTCAACCCCATGTCAACCCCATGTCAACCCCATGTCAACCCCATGTCAACCCCATGTCAACCCCATGTCAACCCCATGTCAACCCCATGTCAAGTCGCCCTACCCGCGTTTTGAAGGCCGGAAGCGAATGGACTGCTTCTTCCCTTGGACCGTGCCGTTGCGGAGAGCCTCCGTGCTGCATAGACATACACACCACAGTGTACACCACAGGGCGCACAGGGAAGAGCGTTGGCACACCTATCAGAGCTGCGTTCCAATAGGAGAGAAGAAGCGACTACGCGTCTCGGTGCCACATGCACAACACAGGGCGCGCGCAGAGAGGAGACTTGGTTCCTAACCGAGAGTGAAACATGCCGTTGCTCACGTGAACGCGAAACCAGCCATGTCCATGATGCATCAACGTGCCTCGAGGTCCCTCTGGTCTTTCGGTCACAAGTATGCCCTCTGCACTGCAACCTCTGATCCTCAGTCTCTGATCCTCAGTCTCTGATCCTCAGTCTCTGATCCTCAGTCTCTGATCCTCAGTCTCTGATCCTCAGTCTCTGATCCTCAGTCTCTGATCCGCAACACAAACCTGAATGCAAACCCCGCCATGTCCATGGTGTACCGCCGTGTCTCAAACTCTCTCTGGTCTTTCAGTCACAAATCTGCCCTTTGCAACCTCTGATGCACCTCTGATCCTCAGTCTCTTATTCCCAACCTCTAAACCAGTCATACCTGAAAGCAAACCCAGCCATGTCCATGATGTAGCGCCGTGCCTCGGGATCTCTCTGCAGCGGGACACGGCGGCCATACGCCTCCCACCCCACGATCTGCGCACGAGCAGCTGCCTCCGTTTTTTCGCCCTCGTAGCCACTGCCACCGCCACCACCAGCAGCTCCAGCGCTCGTGGATGATTCTTTCCCGACATTCCCAGGAGTAGCAGCGCTGCCGCTGCTGCCGCCACCGCCACCGCCACCGCGGCTGGTGCTGTTGCGATCGCCACTGCCATCCACAGAAGCGTCACCCCCTTCCCTCCTCTCAACCCCTTCCCTCTCACCCCCCCTCCTCTCACCCTCCATGTCTCCTTCCAATGGCACGCGCACAACCGGCCGGCCAACGTACGAGCGCAAGGGGCTGTCCTTGGCGAACAGGAACCCCACCGGCAGCAGCCCAATGCGCTGGATCTTCCGCAGCTCCTCAAACAGCTGCAGCGCGTACGAGTTGTCATCGTCCATAAAATACACGATTCCCTCGAGATTCTCCTTTTCTATGTACTCGAGAGCTAGGTTCCTCTGCCCCACGCCGCGGAACCACCGCTGGTCCTCGTTCTGCCAAAGGAGGGTGGGTATGGGGGAGGGTGTGGTGGAGAGCCGGGCAAAAGAGGAGAGGCGCAATGAGGAAAGGCTCTTCCGCAGCTCCTGAAACAGCTGTTCTTTATTTCTTCATGGGGAGCCCATCAAGGGGAGCTCATCAAGGGGAGCTCATCAAGGGGAGCTCATCAAGGGGAGCCCATCAAGAGGAGCTCATCAAGAGGAGCCCATCAAGAGGAGCTCATCAAGAGGAGCCCATCAAGGGGAGCTTATGGGGAGCCATTATCTCGCTGCAAGCAACCCACTCATCGCCACTATGGAGATTCTTCCTGTCCCCTGAAGTTTGTTTTGTATTTTTTTCGTTTCTGTTTTTTTTTTTAAGATTCTTCCCGTCCCCTGAATTTGAGATTCCCAACCCTTTAACTTACATTTCTGGTGGCGATATGAACGTACTCCAGCTTCCGGCACCCGCCGGCCTCCGCTGCTGCACAGTATCCTGCCGTCCGCTCTAGCAGCATGGCCGTCTCGTCCGTCTGCACGCACGTGTGGAGGGAGGGAGACGCATATGATCCCATGAAAGGCCTTATACGGCCTTCATATTACATGATAAACAGGGAAGCAGCTCATTCCCAGCATACACCTGTCTCCCCTGCTGGACAATGAATACCACAGATGTCACTCCCATCACCAAACAACATCACCCCCTTCTTTTCCAGAAAATACGTGCATGAAGAAAGAGCATGCTGTTCTGGACCATTCACAACCACAGGGGTGCTGCTGACCAACGCTAAGCACAAATCTGTAGGCAGACAAAGCAGCTAGATACATGGAAGGCAGCTGTATGCATGTATGATATAAACAAGAAAGCATATATATTGAAAGGCGTATACACGACCTCATCTCGTACTCGAAACTTGTTACCGTGCTCCACTCCTATCATTTCAGAAGCTGCGTGTTTTCTGACTTCTGAGCCTTTTCATCCGCTCCAAAACACTATTTGTCCGAGACTACCCGGGCCGCCTCAAAAGACGCATTCGCACGCGTGACGCTCTCCACAACGATCCACGTGTGCGGGAGGGGGGGCGCGAGTGAAGGAGGGGGGGGGGAAGGGCCTGGCAAGTTTGCGCACACGCATCCCGCACGCGTGACGTACCTTATTCCCGCTCTCCACGACGATCCACGTGTGCGGCGGCGGCACGAGGCGCAGCGTGTGAGTGAGCTCCGTGAGGTACGCCGCCTGGAACACGCGCGAGTACGTCGGCGTGACGAGGATGAGACGGGGCGGAACAGGATGCGGTGCCGATACAGTCCACGAGAGCGTTGGCGCCTGCAGGAGAGAGGGGAAAGGGAAGGGCAGCCGGGTAGGGGAGAGAGTGGTGCAGGCGCGGTTCGTGAGAGGCGTAACACGCGCGAGTACGTGGGCGTGACGACAAGAGGCGGCGGAACAGAGGGGGCGGCTGAGCATCAGTTTAAGAGAGCGTCGCCTGCAGGAAAGACGGGGGGGAGCGGGGAATCGGGCGTCCAAGCGACCGTTGCGGAACCTTCGTACTCGCTCCTTCCAACCTCCGACTCGGCTCCGTCTTCGACTCCGACCTGTCTCGGATCGGCTCGGTCCTGGTTCGGACTCGACTCGACTCGACTCGACTCGACTCGACTCGGACTCGACTCGTCTCGACGCGGACTCCACTTGGTGGCGCAGGAAACAAACGCGAGACAACAAGCGGTGCAAGGGGAGGCGAGGCGAGCTTACAAAGCGTCAAGGCATGAGCAACAGAGACGGAAGGAGGTGACAACGATTTGAGTGCAGGGGCAAGGGGGATTGCAAGAACAGCAGAGAGGCAATGAACGTCGTCATGGTCGTACCAGGAGCCAGATGGACGCGCAGGAGAAGAGCGCGAGCAGCCCTATCCAGTGCAAGGAGGTGAGGTGACAACGATTTGAGTGCAGGGGCAAGGGGGATTGCAAGAACAGCAGAGAGGCAATGAACGTCGTCATGGTCGTACCAGGAGCCAGATGGACGCGCAGGAGAAGAGCGCGAGCAGCCCTATCCAGTGCAAGGAGGTGAGGTGACAACGATTTGAGTGCAGGGGCAAGGGGGATTGCAAGAACAGCAGAGAGGCAATGAACGTCGTCATGGTCGTACCAGGAGCCAGATGGACGCGCAGGAGAAGAGCGCGAGCAGCCCTATCCAGTGCAAGGAGGTGAGGTGACAACGATTTGAGTGCAGGGGCAAGGGGGATTGCAAGAACAGCAGAGAGGCAATGAACGTCGTCATGGTCGTACCAGGAGCCAGATGGACGCGCAGGAGAAGAGCGCGAGAAGCCCTATCCAGTGCACCAGCTGCGACGACTTCATACGATTTCCCGCAGTCGGCAGCATCGGAAGCTCCCGGAATCCCGGCGGCAGGTACGGCAGCACGAAGCCCGGCAATCTCGCGCCGGAGGCGGCGGAGGACGCGGAGTTAGTCGATCCTTTCTCCTTGCCGAACATCACGTTTCTATTCTCCTTTCCGGCCAGACCTGAGGGCGGCTTTCGCGGCCGTTTGGAATGGCTTCCTGGAGCGTCGTTGTTTTCAAACGCCGCTTCGATGCCTCCACTACCAGTAATTTGAGACGTCTCAAAGTTTAGATGGGTTCTTGTAACGCCAGCTCGTTTGTCTAGAATTTCATCGCAGTTGGGGAAGTCGGGAAATTCAGAGCACTCGGGGAAGCCGGAGCAGTCAGGAAAGCCGGGAGTTGCCTCTTCCATGTCATTGTCAGCACCACCGGCGAAGTCGTCGGATCGATGCGTATTAGATGGAGGATGTGAGGTCCAGTCGATTGGCGATGCCGTCCTGTTTCGATGCTGCGTTATGTCCTGCAACGGACTCATGTTACCTGCTAGTACTCTCCAGCAGAAGAGGAGCTACTGATTTCTACTAGTGGCTGATTGTCTAAGTGACCAGCGGCGACTAGGTAAAATAAGCTACTAAAAGCTCAAGACACCACGACTATACGTATGGCGCTGCTTGACGTTGTTCTGTTAGTTGCTAGATGACTTTTGAGTACTCAGAAGTCACTTTCTTGCTGTGGTATTACTCGCTCCACCGCAAAGGACAATGCACTTCCCGATCTCTAAGATTCGTTTTTAAGGATGTGCGGCGCGTGAGTCCTCTATTGTAATCCTTGAGCATATGTGAAGGTGTTTCAGACCAAGCAGCAGACCTAGGCCGGCACCGAATGCTGCACTTCCTTTCTACTGATATAGCTTCTATCTCTGCGCGGCACGAGACTTGCCGGGAAAGCTACTTCATAAAGCGAGCGAGCGAGATTGCTGCCAGTATTCTTGAGTGAGGGTTAATACTTTGAGTTGTGGACTCAGAACTGGAGCTTCCACATTTAGGAATCCAGCGAACACTGGGGCGAGAGAGGATCAGCTGCGCCACGTGTGATAAGTCGCTAGATGCGTCGCACGTACATTATCCGATGAAAAGCGACAACTGTAGCTAGTCAGGTTCGTTGAACGACTTGTACCCGCGAAGAATTTGTCCCTGGAGCCAAAGGGAGTCGCATCGCATGGCATTGCGCCGGGTTGGAAGTTCAGGAGTCGGTTGTAAGGCGGCACTGAGAACTTATCACTGGCATACGCAATGGGAGCCCGCCTATCCTTGGTTCTTGCATTCGTTTCTTGTAGTGACGACCCATTCTAGCTACACATCAACTGCTCTGTCGACCAGAGACGTTGTGGTCTGCAGCAGGCGTGTCAGAGTCAGCTTCAAGCAAGGGAGAATGGTAAGCGCAGCCGTCCCAGCTTGTGAGATGGGTGCGAGGAGAAACGGATGGCAGCAAGCAATGGTGTCAGGAAGGAAAATTGGCAGCAATGAACAAGCTCTGCTCAGATCGAGTCGCGAGCAACTGAGCTGGGCGCGTGCGTAGGGTCGAATCGACCTGTCACTAGGCGTGTGGTGGAGACCCCACAGTTCATTGAACACAGGAAGGCAGGGACTCTTTTCGCGTTTCAACATGTACAGCACGAAAATCACCTCAGCATTCGGTAGGTCCAAGAGACGAGGTGCATTTTCATGACACCAGAACTGCACGAGCCTATTTCAGGGTGATCATCGAACCTCGTCGGCTTGCGGATGGCAGTTTGAAACTGAGAGGCTGTGCAGCGCACGGAGGTTTGGATCGGATATCGATGGCCCAGATTCCGCCTATTTCTGACACAAGATATCAGAGGCGGCGCGGTGGTCCCCAGAGGCAAAGGATTGCGCCTCGGTAGTTGGAAACGTCCCCTGGAAGTGCGGAGCGGGAGGACAAAATGGCGGCAAATTCTGAACAAATGACTCAAGATCGAGCGATCCGTTACACACGCTTCTTCAAGAAAGAAGCTCACATGAACCTTAGAATTGAATTCACCTAGTCGGAATCGTTGAGAAACGAATGGGCGTGATTAAAATATTAGAGAATAAATCTTGCATCTCCTTAAATCAAAGTGTTTTGGGCGCCGGCGCTTCTATCTCGAGCATGGCGCTTATGGCCGATACTCGATTATAAGCGCACCCTTTTTGGAGGTCGTACTTATTATAAGCGCATCCCGTTAACATTCTGGAGTTCACATAAAAAAAAACTCTCACAATTAACATTTTATATAGTCTACTAATAAATCTAGCACCGACAATTTCTGTTAGAAATTATAAATCTCTTATAACTGCAAGCTAGTGTAGTTACTGTGTAGTGATACTGTTATTGCTGGTGGTGCACCATCTTGCCCACCCTTGCTCCTACTTGTACCCTTCTTTCTAATCAATCTACCTCTTTTGTCTATCTTCTAGCCATGGTCTCCTAGGGTTTCTAACCTTTGCCTAGGCTAATCTGACATGCTATCAGAGCAGGCTCGTTCCTAGAGCCTTCTTCCTTGGGCCCACCATTAGCTTCCGCTATGGCGCAGTCCGTCAAGCTGTCCGTCGCGCGCCCCGGGCGCGCGTCGGTTTCTGCCCGATGCGCGCCCCGGGCGCGCGTCGGTTTCTGCCCGATGCGCGCCCCGGGCGCGCGTCGGTTCCTGCCCGATGCCCGCCCCGGGCACGCGTCGGTTTCTGCCCGACGCGCGCCCCGGGCGCGCGTCGGTTCCTGCCCGACGCGCGCCCCGGGCGCGCGTCGGTTCCTGCCCGATGCCCGCCCCGGGCGCGCGTCGGTTCCTGCCCGATGCGCGCTTCGGGCGCGCGTCGGTTCCTGCCCGATGCGCGCCCCGGGCGCGCGTCGGTTTCTTCCCGTCGCGCGCCCCGGGCGCGCGACCGTTTCTGCCCGTCGCGCGCTCGAGGCGCGCGACGGTTTCTGCCTGCCCGCGCGCCCTGCAGTCACACGCGCAGCTCCTACCCCTCCCCCCCCCCCCCCCCCCTCCCCTTCTCCTCCATCTCCCTGCTGCGCATGCAGCAGCTTGGGGGGGGGGGGGGGGGGGGGAAGGGTGTGAGGGGGTGGCGGATGTGTTTCAGTAGCAGCAGCTGCCGCCACGCCTCCTCCTCTCTCACGGCTGCGCCTGCTGCTAAGGGGGGGAGATTGTGAGGGGGTGGTTGCACCTTCAGCGCCAGCCCGTCTCCTCTCTCTCACGGCTGCGCCTGCTGCTGTGGGGGGGAGGGTGAGGGGGTGGCGGATGTGTTTCAGCAGCAGCCGCCTCCTCCCCCCCCCCCCCCTTTAGCCTCTCTCCTACTTCCACACCTGCTGCTGTGGGGGAAGAGGGTGAGGGGGTGGCGGGAGTGAAGTCGATCTACCAACGCCGCACCTGCCGCCGCTGCATCTGTCACCGTACACCTGCTGTGCTACTCTGATCTGGTGTCTCTGCACGTGGCTCTCACTGCAAGCAGTTAGGGGGTGTGTTAGAAATTATAAATTTCTTATAACTGCCTGCTAGTGTAGTTACTGTGTAGTGATACTGTTATTGCTGGTGATGCACCATCTTGCCCACCCTTGCTCCTACTTGTACCCTTCTTTCTAATCAATCTACCTCCTTTGCCTATCTTCTAGCCATGGTCTCCTAGGGTTTCTAACCTTTGCCTAGGCTATTCTGACAATTTCGTCTATTTCAAAATTATCTAACTACTCATTCCAACGTTCTTCCCTTCAACCATGCAACTAGCTACTCCTCCTCGTCGGATTCGCACTCTTGGCAGTTGTTGCCAAAGAAGCCATCGCCGATGATGTCATCATCGACATCCACTTCCGCGGTCAGCTGGCTCCGCCTGTGCGCCATGGCGAGCCCGCCCTCACTGCCGTCAAGCGCGTTGCTGATGCCGCAGGTGAGGAAGGCGAGCTTGATGAGGTCGGCGGGCACTGCCCTCCAGGCCCGTGAGATCCATCTCAGGACCACCGCTGGGGGCGGCTTCTTGAGGTTCCCTGCACCAACACAAAGGCACGATGGAAAGACGTTAGAGCAACAAAGGGGCGGGGGATAATAAATTTTGTAGCGGATAATCCGTCGATTCCGTACCTG